GCAAAACCTACAGAGAAGGACTAAAATAATAAGTTTTGCTGTACAGACGCCATTGTCGCGGTCCAGGGCCTTTGTACCCAGGTTTGGTTAGGGAACCGATCCCCTGATGGGCAGCACACAGGGTCAAACGAGAAAATGAGGGTGTTCAAAAAGACCACAGCAACAGCCCGCAAGCGTGCCCTCAGCCAGAGCACCAATACCGAAGGCTTCGAGCGCTGGGCCGCTGGAAAGCACTGCGCCCTGGTAGGATTTCTTCACCTCGTTGCAGCACGAGCGCCAAATTATTGTTTCGATACGCTCCGAGACATTGCAATAAGGCTGAGAAAGTCAGCGGGTATCTGACTTGAGCTCAGCCAACTCCTAAGCTAAACGTGTATTGAGTTTTGCGTGTTCAGGTCCAAGCAAAACTGGCCGAAGAAGGAAACGAGACACCATGTTGGATTGCTCGTCCAAAATAACAATCCGCCAACCCTTGCCTCCCGTCCTAGCCTCTTGCAGTGGGATGCAACTGAATGTCGTGATTGGCATCCCGACCGTCCCAGGACCTGTTCTGATGCTGGGGATCAACCTGAGCTTTGGTCAACCCCCAAAACAGGCCCCAGCACAGGTCTGGGACTGGTCCAGATGTCGGCAAAAAAATTAACCAACCCCAAATGTGCCACGCAGGCTTTCAGCTGCAGTATTGACTTCGCTTGGAACAGCGCGCTTGTGGCTGCAAACTGACTGAGGGCCGGCGGTAGGAGGAGGAGGCCTGGTTAATCCGCATGCAATTTGCGGGGGTTGGACAAAATTACTTTGCCTGGGGACCCCCCAATCGCCGGCCAATCGCGATCCAATCGCGGTCCCACAGGGTCCAATCGCAGAGCAATGTTGGGCATCGCTGCTGTCTCTGCTTCGCTTTTCGCTGCCTCATTTCAAGCGCTGGCCTTCCTCCATCCTGTACACAGGAAGGAAGTGACATAGATCGGATGGGCAGGAGCTCACTGGCGGTTCTCGTCCAATCGCCGTCCAATCGCGGAATTCGGCGGTAAAATTTCGGTTTGCAGCTTCCAGCCCATGCAGCAATCAGATGGATTTGAGAAAGCACTGTCTGGGCCTGTGCAGACGAAACCAACATTCAACTTGCGCGAGCTCGCGCGGTCAACATGAGCGAGACGCGCGTCGGCACCACGACCTAAACACCACGCAGCATCTAAACTCAAAATAATTGTGTCGCCCTTTCGCGGTTCAATCGCCGGCGTTTCGCGGCCCGAGTTTTTCCAATCGCGCGGTTCAACAAGTTGCCACTGTTCATAAGATTTAGACATGGCCCCCATGTAGCAACCCAGCAGCACCGCATTTGGAAGCCAATGGGTTTCGCGAATGGCATGCAAGAAACATGACGGGCGGCGGGCGGGCCTCCGGTGTGCGGCAAAAAACGGGTGGGTGCGGGTGGGTGCGGGCGGGTATGGGTTGGTGTCGGTTGGTGTGGGTTGGTGGGTGGGTGGGTGGGTGGGTGGGTGGGTGGGTGGGTGAACGTGTGCGTGTGCGGTGTCCGCGTGGGTGGGTGTGTGGGTGGGTGTGTGGGTGGGTGGTGTGCGGTGTGGCGTGTGCGATGTGCGCGTGTGTGCGAGTGTGCGCGTGTGTGTGTTGTGTGTGTGTGTTGTGTGTCTGTGTGTCTGTGTGGGTGTGTGGGTGTGTGTGTAGGTGTGTGTGTGTTTGTTTGTTTGTTTGTTTGTTTGTTTGTTTGTTTGTCTGTGTGTCTGTGTGTCTGTGTGTCTGTGTGTCTGTGTCTGCGTCTGCGTCTGCGTCTGCGTCTGCGTCTGCGTCTGCGTCTGTGTGTGGGTGTGCGTGTGCGTGTGCGTGTGCGTGTGCGTGTGTGTCTGTATGTGTGTCTGTGTCGGTGTGTCTGTGTGTGTCTGCGTGTGTGTGTCTGTGTGTGTCTCTCTGTGTGTGTGTGTCTGTGTGTGTGTGTCTTTGTGTGTGTGTGCGTTTCTGTCTTTGTGTCTGCGCGTGTCTGTGTCTCTGTGTCTGTGTAAGCGAGTGCGTCTGAGTGTGTCTGTGTGTGTGTCTGTGTGTGTGTGTGTCTGTGTGTGTGTCTGTGTGTGTGCGTGTGCGTCTGAGTGTGCGTGTCTGTGTGTGTGTCTGTGTGTGTGTCTGTGTGTGTGGCTGTGTGTGCGCGTCTGCATGTATCTCTGTGTGTGTGTCTGCGTGTTTGTCTGCGTGTTTGTGTGTGCGTGCTTGTGTGCCTGTGCCTGCGCGTGTGCCCGTGAGCGTGCGGGTGCGGGTGCGGGTGCGGGTGTGGGTGCGGGCGCGGGTGTGTGGGTGTGTGGGTGTGTGGGTGTGTGGGTGTGTGGGTGTGTGGGTGTGAGGGTGTGTGGGTGTGCGGGGGGTGTGCGGGGGGTGTGTAGCAAGCGGGACCTTACCCACAAGCAAACTCTCCTTCATTTCACCGCGCGCGTGCCAGCATTTTTGAATCCACATGCCAAGACCCATATAAACGCTTAAACGTGTTTCCAAATATCAAGCCACTCACCAAATGTTTTAAGTTTTTCATTTTTGATAAATAACTTAAACCAACTCAATTTTCCTTAACCTCATTCTTTCTTAATTTTCCTCGTGCCTGTAAGTTAAGTCGTGTCTCGCTTTACCCATTTTCCTGATATCGCAATTACACACATCACAATGAAAATTAACCTTGCTCTTCTTTTTCCTTTCTCACGGCATCTTTCACAATTTTTATAATTTCCTGTGAAACAATCCACATTCCTATAACTCTGACAACACGAACAATATTTCTTTTCCATAACCTCTATAATACTATACCAACAAACCTTTAAACCCTTTTACCCCGAAGAATCCACCAAACAACAAACCACACAAAAAACCAAACAACAGACCATACAACAAACAATTACAAAACACTCACCAACAACTCACAGATTAACTCACTCGGGATTGTATGTATTCAATTATATTATTTAAGGATAATATAATTAAACAGTAAAGATTACCAAAATCGTTCTTGATATGCTTGTGTTACAAACCATACAATAGACAATGACATGTTTTGCTTGACAGACCTGACCCCTGACCCATGATTAGGGGGCAACCTGACCCATAATTTGGGGGCAACCTGACCCATAATTTGGGGGCAACCTGACCTTCAGTCCAATTGGAGCACCTAATCCACCAAACTAACCAGTATCTCACAAATCAACTCACTCGGGATTTTGTATAAATCTCCCTGTTTGTGGATTACATAATTATCACCCCAGTCGGCTTTGCTTTTTTGTGGCAGGCGTTGCGCAGTTTCAATATGTTTGTTATTAACCACTTTACCACAATCTTTATTACATAAACTTCGGGTTTTCCGTCTATCAAGGTTGTTCCATAACCTAGTTCGCTTCCTGTGATTAAATCCATATTTGCAATAGTCAATGTCATTAAACCTTAACCCATTCATAAAAGACTGATTTTTCAATAATCCTGTCTGTGAATTTTCAATAACAAAATACGGAAAACCGAAATAGTCAATTATCTCTAATGTTTTTTAATACAATACTATTAGCATATTCAATGTTTCGTATTCCTGTTGTTTTTGCAATACTGTATTCTGTGCAAGGTGGTCAACTCCAAATAAATTGAAAATGATTTCTGTCAAACTGCTTATAATCCCATTCAAGTATATCACAATTAATATCAGCATTTTTTAAATCCAACGATATTACATTAAAACCGAGCGACTTTGCAATAAGTCCAACACTGCCTGTTCCGCTAAATAATTCAAGTAAATTCATTTACTTGAAATTATTTAGCGTTAGAACTTATAAATCTAAATTTTACAATTTAGATTTATAAATTGTACCTGAAAATAATTCTAATAAATTCACATTATTAGAATGATTTAGATATTTATTATATTGTTTCATATTTACCCTCTTCGTTCTTAAGCAGTTTGTAATATTCTAATGTTTCAGATTTTGGTTGTTTAATACGCCCTTTGTTTAACATTTCCACATATTGTTTTTGTTTGTCTTCAAAAGACCCTTTCGGACGCCCTAATCCTTTCTTTTCAAAGATTTTATCCATCTTCTCCTTATCGTCTTCGTTATTGCTTTTAGGTTGGTTTATTTTTTCATCAATATTCATAATAAGTTCAGTTAATGATTTAATATTCTTACTAATAATTATACTCTTTTTCATTAAATCGTTAATTGTAGAATTACCATTTTCTGACATTTTTATATAAATATGTTATTTTTCATCATTCTTTCTCAGGTGTAAATAACTACCAAATCCACTTTTGAAGTTTTCTACCCAACTTTCTTCAACTGTGCTCCCGTCGGCATCTTTCTTTTTTACTGTATGTACTGTATGCATGTTTCTACCACATGAACACGGCCAACATTTAACTTTAACATGTCCTTTATCTAATTCTAATTCATTTAATGGTTTAATTGTTTGACCGCATGTAACGCATTTGACACATTCAATATCTTTTTGTTTCTCTTGCTTCTTCTTTGGAGGCATTTATAGTAACATTTACATTTTTACTTTTGAGATATTGTGTTCCTAACTTAATTATTTCTAAAACAAAATAGCATACTTTCTTACATCTAGTATCAGTTATTACAACTTGTTCTACTTTCTCTACTTCATCTATTATATTAATATAATCTGAATAACTTCTATTCATATTAAATAATAAGATAAATTATTCTAATTAATCTTATTATTTCATGCATGGTAGAATATTGGGGGCACAGCACTTGGGGTTTTCACTGCAACACGCGAGCGAGACACAAAACTAATTATCTTCAATGCTTATTGATTGAAACAATGGAAAACCTGTTCCAGTATGTCATTCACCACCACACATAGCATAATGATGTTCCATTTAATATTAATTACAAGTTAATTTTTAAATATAATTTTCTATATTTCTGTAATATCAACTATGACAGATGTCCCAATAATAAAACCAATAAACATAACTGATTATGAATTCAAACAATCTAAATATGAGCACGTGCCAAAATTACCACTTAGAAGTATTATAGTTGCGAGTTCAACGGGAGGCAAAACAGTTTTAGTCCAGAACCTTTTCTTGAATGTGTATAGAAATTCATTTGCAAGAGTATTTATATTTTCCACCAGTGTCCATAACGACCCTACATTTACAGAAGTTAAAAAATACATCAGGGATGAATTGCACGTGGATGATGAAAAAGAACAACTTTATTTTGATAATTATAATCCAAGTGATTTAGAAAATG